ACACGTACATTGGCAATGTGCTCAAGTCCAAACTCGTCTAGCAACTTTTCAACTCTGGAAGTGGCCTTCTCGAGCCCACTGCGCAACCTGAGACGAGTGCTGTACATGAGCGTCTCTTTTACCGTGAGGAGTAGGAAGAGGGCTTCATCTTGAGTGACATAGCCTGATATTCGGCGAAAATATTGAGCATTCATTGGTTGCTTATTCACAAGAACTTGGCCTACAATATTATTTAGAGGTATCATTCCCGCAAGTATTTCTAGCAAATTTGTCTTTCCTGCTCCACTTGGACCCGCAATAGCTATGATCTCTCCTGGTCTAGAATCACAACTTACATTCTTCAGAATATATGATGCTTTTGGAGGTTCCTCTGGCCACACCATTCAGTGGAATTCGACTTTGTGAGATAATTTGTAAGAAACTTTTCAGGTCTTAATTCTATATCGGGTTTTTTCGGCATCACAATTTGCTGTCTTTGTTGGTAATTCCATTGAGAAACAGAAAATAGAAGTCTATGAAAATGTGATAGCAATAGGTTGAGGTAAATACCGTTTCAGTTTTTCTTTTTCTATCCCCAAAAAAAGAGATACGAGAGAGCTATGAAACCATGAGCTACACCACAACCCCAGCTTGTTTGATATTTTCTGAAGGGTGTAGTGCAAATATTCTGAAGACAACCACATGTAGGTTGGAGGAGCCAAGACCACCCATGGCCTGCATGTGGCCTGCATGTGGTTCTCATTCGGAGTATAGTGTCACCCAATTTCCTCTCTCAGCATTTGTCTACAAATTCAAAATGTATACCCTTTATTTTAATAAAATCCAAACTCAATTGAAGAAAATAAAAAGAGAAAATTTTCGAAATGTTTTCTTTATCGGTTAGCTTGTAATTATTAATTTTTTTTTTCTTTTCATTTTTAGCGCATGTACAAGGGAGTATGCAAAGGAGTAGTCATCATTTTCATGCTACAAGCAAGTAGCTCAAATAAATCTACTGTTCTAAATGAGACAACGTTACCTACTTCAAAATTAATAGGTATATTGGTCCCACCTATA